AATGAGATCTCGTGATTCATTGAAAAATTAGCAATGTCAATGGAAATATTAGTATAATATTAAGATTAATTTGATTAAAAATATTATATTAATTCACTTGGATTATATATGTATTACACTTGTATCTGCATAATCAGTTAATTTAATATATCTATTAATGATTAAAATTTTTAAAACTTATTCAAGATTTGATTAAAGCGATAATCAAACTAAGTGTTCTGAATTAATTTCAAGTAGCATCATATCATTGTGCGAATATAATAAAATAAAACAGAAGTTTTTAATTAAAATTAATGAAAACAAGAATTCGGATATGTCAAAAAAAATAGTAGTAGTAGATAAATGTAGTAGAATAAATTGCAGACTTCAGGACTAAAATTCAATATAATTAAATAATTAAAATTAGATAAATTGTCAATGCTAGAGGTCATCGGAATCAGTCACGCGTACGGGCAGCCGCAGTCGAAGTCCTCGTGAACTTTCGACCTCCAAGACACTACACTCCTCTTGCAGACTTTCAGTTCCTTTTTTAAGAAACTCTATAAAACATTGGTACTAAATATCTCTGCGGTAAAAAATTTCAAATTATTTATCTCTCGTACATTTAATATTTTCGGTTCGTTCTTGTGATATTCTGTTAAATTAAGAAAGTATTCGGTTAAAGAAAGTATTTAACCGATTCTGTACGTATGTGTACGTAGTGTAAAGTGGCGATAATGATGATGATAATGATAATGACGATGGTATCGACTCTCTCAATGATCGACCTCGATCCATAAATTAAATATTCGATATAAATTTGAACCGTTTCTGAAAATCCGACAAATCCCTTGTTATTTAAAATAATATCTTAAGCGCAACGATGAAGGTAAAACCTTTGCACTCATAATATTCACATAGAGATCTGAGAAAATTTATTATGAAAAAACACACTCTCATGATTGTCAAATCAATGACACAGGAAAAAAAAATCATTCATGATCGACCGGCATTGCTCAATGCTTAATCGAAGCGTTAAAGTCTTCTGGCCGGTTTCGCAGCATCCAGCGCGTGTCGTCCACGGGGTATCCGCATCCCCGCACGAGACAGTCTTTTCATCGCGGAAGCACACAGAAAAAGCGGCGTGTTGCCAACCTCGTGGCTATCGTCTAAGCACCGTAGAGGGCTTCTATATCCCAAAGGGATACTTTAGAGGGACTGCCTACCCTAAAGTCGTGCGTGCGTGCCGGCGCGCTTTTTCCACAAACAACCGCAAAAGTGCGTGTGATTTCGCGATGCGGCGAACCGATGAGGGGTGCTGAGAGAAGAGGACTCGCGCGAGTGGGGGGAGGGGGGCAGGTGGTGGTGATGGTGGTGGCAGGGGGGGGTGGCGTGGTGTGGTGTATGAATTATGGTTCGTGGGAAAAAGGCACCCCGACTCTCGAGAGAAACGGGCGGCCACGAGACTCCCG